GATAGCGTATTCAAGTTCGAGAGATCTTACGTGACGTAGCAATTCGACCTATTTACTGTATTTTTGAATTTAGTCACCAGATAGCGTATTCAAGTGATATATATCTCAATAGGTTTTTTTTTGGGGGGTTTTTTGTTTTTTTATCGGAACAATAATTTTGACGGTTGATATCTAATTTTGATTTTTTTTTTTTTATTGGCTCATCGATTTTATTATTCAAGTTTTATAGGTTAGAAAATATTGTTATGGATATTGTTAGAAATGGAGCTATCATTTAAGTCAATTATATTGTACCTCTTGAAAATCATATTGCAATCTCGTCGTCGGTCGACCAATAGTTTTTATCTATGTATAGTAATCGATATTACGATTCTTCTTTTTTATTTTTTTTTAATTTTTTTTTTTTTTTTTTTTTTAGTATCGTCATACCTCCGTCTCTCATATTTATTCGAAGCAAAGTTCGAGAATACCAAATATTCATTTTATTTCGATTAATAAATTGTGTTTTAACTTTTTTAAAAATATAATCGAGGATTGAAATAATAAAACGAAAGAAATACGAGATCATCACGCACACATTTTTTCAATTTAATTTAATTTAATTTAATAGATAATTTTTTATTACTAAAAATAAATAAACGAATTCTTTTTGGAACTATATAATAATTAAAAAATGAAAATTTTATTTCATCAGAGTATACAATAAATTTGAATAATTCGAATAAAATATTTTATATAATAAATGAATTAAATTAAATAAAACAAAAAAAAATAAATTTATCCGAGTAAATTTGAATAATTCGAACAAAATATTTTATATTACTTTTCTTTAAATATAATAAATAAATATATAAATAAATATATATATAACTATTCGAGATATTAAAATAAAATTTTAAAAAAAGAGGAAAAATCTTTCGTTAATAGTGGTACCTTTGATTATTGATTTTTCACTTTTGCAAACCCTTTTTTTTCCCCTATAAATGCGACGATGGAAAATAAAAGAAAAATAAAAAAAAATAGAAAAAGAAAAAAGACAGAAGGGGGGGCGAGTCGGGGGAGGGTAGAAGATAATTCATTGAGAGTCACCCTCTCTCTCTCTTCTCGAAGTCTTTCAAATCAATGTGATTCTCTTGAAAACGTCGAATGAGACGAGGAAGAAAAAATAGAAAAAGAGAGAGAAAGAGAGAAAGAGAGAGAGAGAAAAACTTTTTTAGAATTCTAGGATGCAAAAGATCAACGGAACTTACCGTAAATAGACGTGACTCGTTCTCGTTCTCTACGGGTAACGGAACGGGGTAACGGAACGGGGTAACGGAACGGGGTAACGGAACGGGGGTATCCGGTACTGGGTATGAAAGCTATCGTACACATTACCGATTTTACTACTAGACCAACTAGGCCACGACCTACAACGATACACTTTTGTGAATGATGATGGACCTTTTAGCTATCGGGAAAACTCGAAGAGGCACATCGAGTATTACTTTATTCAATTCATTCAATCTACTGCAGTAGACCAAATCACTAACATAACTATATACTCAACACTTTATATATATAAATGTACGATTTGTATACCTTAGATTTTCACGGAATATTCTATGAATATTCCCCCATTCCCATATCCACCTTCAATTCCCCATTCACTCACTCACGCGTAATTGATTTTTATCTTTCGTTTAACTGAGTAACAAAATTAACTATGACATTTTTCTTCCATATTTTTCTTTCATTTTTTTTTTATTTTTTTATTTTTTTTCTTTTTTTTTTATTGGAATGAAAATATTAATGTTTTCGTTAGAATCATCATAGGGGTTGATTTAATTTAAATTAAGGAGAATTTTAAATTGTTCGTTAATGTTTCATAAAGATTTATATTAAATTATATTTAAATTATATTTAGATATATTTAAATTATTTGTTTTTTATTTTAATTAATATATATTAAAAAATTCAATATAAATATTAAATTAAATTAATTTAATAAATTTTAAAATTAATAAATTTTTATTTATATATTAATTAAATTTATTTAAATATTAATTATAATTATAGATATCTATAAATTATATATATATTAAAAAATTCAATATATATATATATATATATTATATAAATAAAATTAAATTATAATTTAATTTAATTTTTTTTTAAATAAAATTAAGTATAATTTTATTTATATAT